AATCGATAAACCGCAGAGAGCAGTGCATTATATCATCTGCTTGTAGTATATTATATAAATAATACATATTCAATAATACGCACATATTTATTTGCCGCACCAAACTTACGTACATGTATTCAGACGAACGTACGTTAAACCAGTTTTGAAAAATCGATAAAGCCCAGTGTGCAGTTTGTATTTTGTCAGGAGAGATGGGAATACGCATCGGGGCTTTTGTGGACGGACGTATGGATGCCGATAAATAACAAGAAGTGATCGATAAAGCACTGATTAAAGTTCATACCCTCTGCGCCCTGATTAACACGTCATTGTGCTACCCCTTTATTAATCACTTATAATCGGCGGAGAGAAGCCGACAGTTATTTAACGCTCCATCAATATTTTAATTAAAAATACCGCATGCTGTTTTCCTTTGATGCTCTTTCAACCCTTCTTAAATTACTTTGATCAGGAATCACGCTGTGTTTATTAACTGTTCACTAAGTCTACTGTCATATTTATCTAACTTCAACAAAGTAATATATATTTCGAATTTTGCATTCTTCAATTCCTGAAAATTAGTTCTGCGATCCTACATCTAACAGTAACAATACTTTAAGATTGTTTTGAGTTGGATTTAGTTATTTCTTTCAGGATAAATGTTTCAATTAGGCAAAACTAGTTCTGACTTACTAACATTTCAAACAAAACATTTCGAACGTTATATCCAACTTCCATAACATCATAAAAAATCAATATTCAATAACACATTTTCAGATTTTCTGATAGAAACAAATAAAACAGTGAAAAAAGTTGTAAAAAGAAAAGTGTATACGGATCAGTTAAATCATGTGTATTCATCGCCGTCGCAATTCGAATTCATCAATTAAGAGCTAAAACAATACTTGCCATGTAAATACGTGACGATTACGTGGATTTGAAAAACAAACAATGGTCCAGACTGGAGCGCGCTGCGTGCAATCCCAAATCTCTTAAATGCACCATTGTTTTCCCGAAAATAAACCTTTCCCGTTCGTTTCGTTCGAAATTCCCGCCGTTTCTCTAATTATTGCACATATTAAAATGCAACACTCATTGTTTGCCACATAAATACCATTAATAAATTTGATGAAACACATACGAATCTTCACAATACAAAAAAGCAATCTTTTGTTTGTAATGAATTTTAATAAAGAATGATCCAATGATGCAAAGATACAAAGTATATCAAAGTATATCAAAGTATATCAAAGTATATCAAAGTATATCAAAGTATATCAAAGTATATCAAAGTATATCAAAGTATATCAACGTATATCAATATTTCCCGCCAAAAATATTTTTTTAATCTCAACTACGTAAATTAAATAAAATCTAGTGTTAAAAATAGACGCGTAAATATAATAAGAAGTTATTTTATGACGATATTATTACTATTGAAAATTTCTTAAGCTGTCATTTTGATATAATTCAAAATTTGAATATTTCCCGCCAAGAAAGCGTCTTAAAACTCAACTACGTAAAATGGATAAAATCCTAGTATCAAAGATTTACGCAAATGTTATTTTATATTCGTATTAACATTATTGAAAATGTTTTATAAGCTGTCATTTTGACATAAATTGAAATTTGAATATTTCCCGCCAATTATAGCATAAATCACATAATATAAATTGGAGTATTGGAGTCCAAAATTGTTTGTGAAATTATAATCAAATAAAAATGACCAGTTGAAATTTATGGATACATACATGGATTAGCTGTCATTTTGACATAATTCAAAATTTTAATATTTCCCGCCATTTATTGAAATCCAAATTACAATTTTTACTTTACTTTTAATATATTTTAACTACTATTCATTAAACGAATTATGCATGCAAAACTTAAAAAAATTTGTAAATAATTAGTACGTTTTTTAATATAAAATTTAAAAATTAGGAAGAACTGTAAAAAATTATGCACAGAGATTTACATTGAAAATCCGTGACAACAGAAATTGTATTATCTCAAACTCGAGGAGTTTAAAAAAAAATAACTTTCAGTTATAAACTGCGCGCATTCTAATGGAGTTACGAAATCCCTTTTGTACCTTAACGCTCCATCCTACCGTGATGAAGTAAGCGTATCAACATTGAAATATATGTAACTAATGCTTCCAGAAACTTTGCAGACATGCCTTGCACTAAATCCGATTTCATTTAATAAACTGTAAAATGTACACTTAACTTTCCTGCTAATTTATCTTCATTTTAAACTTTACGAACATATATTTTTTGAAAACCACAATTTTTTTTTTGCAAGGATTACTTTTTTATAAAAAACAAATGGAAAATTTCAATGATTTTTGTATATAAAATCTTTAAGAAAATCCTATAAAATGCGACAATTGTAGCAGTTGTTACAAAATATGTATCTATAAATTTAATTTAAATAAAGTATAAGAAAAAATATTTTACAGAGATTGTAAAATTAATAATAGAAGAAATGGAAAAAGTATAATTAACTAAATGCAATTAAAAATAGGATAATTCAGTTAGACCTAATTTCTACAAAAAGCACAAATTTTCAATTTATTTATAGAAAATGTTGTAAAATCAAATAGAATGTGTAAAGTTTAAGCTAATTTATTACAAAATAATAAACTATAAATAGCAAAAAATTACCATTTATGTAAGATAATTGAAAGAGAAAATCTTGCAGGATATAATTACGAAACTAAATTACATAAGGAATGAATATTCTAATAAATAATGTATAAGAAAGTATAATACAAAGTACTGAGTTAATAGCGACCACAAAAACCACAAGCAACTTAATAATCATAATAATAACAAAAAAAATATATAGATTTTCCTCTTTATAAAACGATTTTCTCGATTTATTCGCACCGAAGGACTTTTCGAGCATGAACTCTTCGGAAATAAGGCACGAATCGTTGCGCAAATTTTCTGCTGAAGTTTCAAAACCAAATGCCAAAAGATTATTAATATAAAAAAGAAAAACGTTTTACAATTTCTTTCCCTCTTTTTTTTTCACCTTCATTCAGACGCGTTTTTTTGCGAATGGGAAATCTCATTAAGCGGATTGCAGCGTCGTGCATTGAAATGCGATTGACGCATCAAAGGTCGAACAAAGTATAGTAATTACGTGGGAAAGTGGGGAAGATGAAGGAGAAGACTCGACTTTGTAAATTTCGGTTTAATTAGATTGAGTTTGTTGTGGATTTGGGTAATTGCCTCGGTTTATTTTCTTTGTTTTTCTTTCTATATTTTTACGTTTCTTTGTATATATTTATTTTTTTACAAGGGGTTGGTTTCTGTATATAAGGGAAAGAAGAAACGTCCTCAGGTGCAATTCGTTCCGTTGATTATATTTCTGCTGCTTGGGCCAAGATTCATATATCCCAGGACCATCCTCATCTACATAAATAAAACAAGAAAGTAATTTTGAAGCGGAATGCATCTTCACAGTCGTCCGAAATAATAAAATTTCACGGATGAAAAGGAGAAATATATTATTTGACATTATTATTTACGAGAAAGAGTTTCAATTCTATGCAACTCATTACGTAATATTTCGGAACAGTTTGTAGTTTTACAAATTATAAGAAGCTACAACATCCTGCGAGATTCATAATAAAAGGTGGATCCAATAACAGTGACCTAGATAAATCTTAAAAATGAATATAATTAGTAGTATAATTAATAACATTTACACAAATTTGATGTACGTTAATTCAACAGTGAATTACCATATAAATATAAGTATTTTCAATTTTTTCGTACGTTTGCATGAACGTTCAATTGTACGTACATTTTTTCATCAGAAACTTCCATCTTATATAAATACTTCTTACATCTTTCAAATCTATATAATATAC